GATGGAGCCCTCCATGCAAAGTGTGGAGGTACCAGTTTGTGCTGGAACTGATGGCCAGAAAAGGGGCTTGGCAAAGCAGGGATGAACCTGGAGCCGCGTCCAGCAGCATTCCCTGCCTGTCCCTTCCCTGTCCCAGTCTGCAGGGGTAGCAGAGCGCCATGCAGCCCTGGAATTCTCCGCCTCGGACAACAGCTTCATCCTTCAGGACTTCAACTCCCCCCACGGCACCTTTGTCAACAGCTGCCAGGTGCAGAACGCAGCCGTCAGGGTGAGGCCTGGGGACATCCTGAGCTTCGGCACCGCGGGAGCCTCCTTCGAGCTGGTGCTGGATGGGGCTGCCCAGGTAGGGCTGGGGATGCCCGGGGAAGGGTGGGTGCTATGGCCCATGGAAGGATGCCCATGGGCAAGGGTGGGTGGGGATGTCCAGGGAAAAGTGTCCGGGGAAATTGGGTGGGTGGGTGCTGCTGTCCAGGAAGGCTTCAGAAGCAGGAACTCGCTCCCAGCTCATCTGGAGATCCTGAGGAAAGGTGCCAAACGTGAGTGTCAGGAAAATCCACAAACGCCAGAGGTTTATGTCCAAAAAGGAGACAGAGGAATCCTTCACCTTTATTCAGGTAAATAAATCTCCCAATTTATCTCCCAGATAAATTATTCTCCCAATACAAGGAGAGAGTCCACTGGGGCACATGCCCCTGGGGTTTTCTCTCTCCCAGGGTTTCGGAGGGCACAGCCTCCTCTTATCCTCACTCCTGGCCACATGGTGCCTGTTTCCTTTTCCCCCTGGCCGAGGTACTAGGAAGGTACAGCCTTCCCAAACCACCTACAACATATTTCCCCCTTGAACCTACTGTTTTACCCCAAGTTCAGGAGTTCAGGCTTGTGCAGACCCTTGCCGATATCAGGAGCCAAGCTGTCTGGGCTCTACAACAAACCTGCTGCCCAAAGTCAGGAGAGACATTTAGACCCATTTCAAAGACGTCAACACCCATACCTTGACCCATCAAATTATTTATAAAGACAGTAGCTCACATCTTTCCTGTCACGGGGGAGGAGCTGGAGCTCCCTCTGCTGAAGAAACTCAGGCAGTTCGGTAAGAAAATGGAAAAGCATGGGACCGAGATACATCAGTAAAGGAAGACCTGGAAAATGTCCTTTCCCTCTATTTGCATTTTATGTTTCCTCCTAAGCCACTTAACAAGAGAGAAGCTGGGTTTCAAATAAAACATAGAGCAACTGATAATCCCCAGTAATATTTTTATTATTTTGGCTCTTGAAGAATCCAAGATGCTGCCTAGGTAAAGCTAGATTGTGCTGGAGCAGTGAGCAGTTGAATTCCCAAAGGCAGGTGAGGGGCTAATTCCCAAGGGCAGGTGAGCACGGGACCGGGTCTGCACAGCCATGCAGAGCCTGTCCATGGGATGCCTTTTCCTCGCCCTGGGATCCTCCTTTGGAGGGGCAGCTTTGGAGCCTGACCCTGCTGCCTGCAGGGAGGGAACCCCCTCACTGTGAAGTGTCTGATGAAGGGAGGGATCTCTGCTGTGAGTCTGAGAGGAGGTGCTGTGCAGAGGAGCACACCTGGCTGGGAATCACACCCTGCCATGCCCACACAGGACCCTGTCAGGTTTTTGTGCCATCTCGCTGGGAGCCAGTGCTGTGGGCAGCAGCAGGAGCAAAGCAGCAGGGCTGGGATGTGCTCTGGGTGAAGGGAAGGTGCTGGAGGTGCAGGGAGCCTGCACTGGGGTCTGGGGCTCTGTTAACAGCTGGGGGTTGAAAGACCCACACCCAGGTCTGACCCCCTGGCAGATGTTTAATGCAGCCCTTGTCACTGAGAACTTAGTGGTGGCTTGTCCCCACTGCCCTGGAAAGCTCTGCTCTCTAGGAGAGCGGCACACAGTGTCCTAATTCCCAGTCTGACAGGCCCAGCTGATGGGAAAGCAGAAACACAATGACAGGCTTTGGTTTGCCTGGGAGAAACAAATGGGATAGGACCATGTGTGAGCCAGGAGGGCTGTGAAAGGAGTGCTCCTGGATTGTGCAAATGATGTGCAGAATTAGGGCAGTCAGATGCAGAGGGAAAAGCTCAAAAAGCAGAAAACCCCAATAATTTCCTTCTGTTTCAGCAAAGCATCTGGATGCCCTGATTAAAATCTGATCCTCGCATAATGGAAATGGGAAAAAACTAAAATTGTGCTTCTGCTTAGATCTGTGCCTGGGTTTTCCACGACACAGTGCACATGAATCCAGGGCTAAAGTATTTCCTAAATTCTTGCAATAACTTGGTGCTTTCCCACCATAGATGTCCTGTCCCCCCTTGAAACGTCGCGTGGGGTGGAGTGGGCAGCTCCAGGCTGTTGCAGAGCCCAAACTCCTGACTCCTGCATCTCCTCTGTGCCTGCCCTCGCTGCAGGGGCAGCTTCCCCCCAACTCCCTGGGCAGAGGGGCCCCCAGAGCCCCTGGCCATGTGCCCCATCTGGTGCTGCCAAGGCGACCTGCGAGTGCCAGGGACAGGAGCGCAGCCAGTGCCACCTCTCTGGACACATCCAGCAGGACCTCTGCCCTGAGGCCAGGTACTCCATGGTGCCAAAAACAGCCATTTCTGTCCTGGTGTCCTCACAGAGCCACTTGATTGATTGGAGCAGAGCAGTGACAAGCGTTGAGCAACTGGGTGCAAGTCATTGTCCCCTGGAGCTGATCAAAATCCATGTGTGGTGCTGGGTGGCATTTGGGTCAGGGAAGAAATGAGCTGTGCCATCGCAAGGGGAGTGCTGTTGCCCTTGCAGAGAGACATTTCCTCTTCCTTTTTCCTGGTGTGGGACCCAGAAGGGCCATGATTGACTTTATCTGCACCACTGACTCTTGTGCCTGTTCCTGACTCCTGTGTAAAGTGGGTTTTTTTCCTCCTTTGAAGTGGCTGTCTCAAGTGAAAGCACTTTAAAATAGCTCTGTATCCAGTGCACCTCTGGAAATAAAGTATGCAGTAGAGCAGGGCAGAGGGGAGGGTTTGGGCTGGAGAATGTGACATTTGCTGTGGATGTTGTGGCCTGGTGCACAGTGCTGTGCTTTTCCTGCTGTGGGCTTGGGATTTTTGAGCTGTCATAAGCAACACAAAGTGAGCAGTGAGGCAGCACCGTGCAGCCCCAGTGCTGAGCTGGAAATCTCAGTGAGGGCAAAGGCAGGGACACACACAGCCAGGGTAGCACAAACTCCTTTTTTTGAGAACAGCCCAAAGGATTTCCATGCCCTAATGGCAGTGAGCAGCGCTGGTCCCATGTGGAAAGACAAAAAAGCAGAGCTTTCTGGCGGGCTGGCCAGTGCTGAAAAATAAGGTCAGCCTCTCTCTGCTGTGTCTCTGCTGCTTTTAGGCTGTTTTGGTTACCAGAGGTGAATTAACTCTCTTTTCTGTATTGTTTTGGTTCCCAGAGATGAATTAACTCTCTCTTCTGTGCACACTGTTTGCAGTCTAAGTTTTTTACAGTCTTTTTTTTCTATTCTCTGCTGGTTGTGAAGTGAGCTCATGCCCTGAGTAGTGGCCGCTGCCTTGGAGTAGTTTTGGGACAAGGGAAAAGGGGTTTTGCTGCCTGTAGCCACCTCTCATGCTGATGATTTGCTCTCTTCCAGTCTCAGCCAGCTTCTCAGGGGGTGGTGCCAGCAGTGTGGGGAGAGCCCCTTCCCTGGGGCCTCACAAGGTGGATCTCCTCCTGCAGGGGAAGGTAATGCTGGGGAAGGATGGGGAAGGGAGGATCCTGTCCTGGTCCTTGGAGGAGCAGGTGAATCCTGCCCAATGTCTGTGTCCCAGCAGGGTGTGGGGGCTGCCACCAGAGCGGGTGGATGGGAACAGGGGGTGGCTGGAGGATGTGCCAAGCCAGGGACAGAGGGTCCCTTGCTGATGGCCTTGAGTTGGTACCCCTGGGCAGGGAGTCTGGAGCTTCTGTGGCTGCAGAGTGACCAGTGGAACCTGGATCTGCCAGCAGGGTGAGAAGCTGCTGGAGAAGGAAGTGGGCCACCTTTTTGGTTTGGAAACAGAGTTAAAGGGGAAGGATGTGGTGGTGAGAGACCTACAGGAGGAGATCGCAGCCATGGCAAAGAAACTGGCCCAGGCAGCCATGAGGAACGAGGCTGAGCTGACCCAGAAGCTGCTCACCTTCAACCAAGAGCTGGGAGCCCAAACAGAGGAGATCAAAGCCCTGAGGGAACAGGTACTGGAGGCACCAAGCAGGGAAAACATCTGTCAGGTACAGGTGTGTTTGTGGGGTAACAGCCAGCTTTGGGCAGGAGAGATTTGTGGGTCTGAAATCAAGGGAAATGAGGGAGAGAGCCTTCCTTCCTTCCTTCCTTCCTTCCTTCCTTCCTTCCTTCCTTCCTTCCTTCCTTCCTTCCTTCCTTCCTTCCGCCACTTCCTTCCTTCCGCCACTTCCTTCCTTCCGCCACTTCCTTCCGCCACTTCCTTCCGCCACTTCCTTCCGCCACTTCCTTCCGCCACTTCCTTCCGCCACTTCCTTCCTTCCTTCCTTCCTTCCTTCCTTCCTTCCTTCCTTCCTTCCTTCCCTCCCTCCCTCCCTCCCTCCCTCCCTGGCATTAGGATGTCAGCAGGAGCACATTTACGATGATATTTGAAGATGCTGAGAGCAGTCCAACTAAACCACAAGTGCCAGCTGACCCTCTCTGAAGGGGTAGCAGTCAGTGAACGTTCTGGTGAGGAACACAGGTAAATCTGTGTTTTGCAGATCTATGACCTGCAGAAAGGCTCAAACCAAGTTTTCAGCCATTCCCTCCACGAGAGAGACCTGGAGATCGGGAGGCTGCGGAGGGAAAGTGAGAAGTTGAAGAAGGACCAGGCTTTGACTGCAGGTGTTGTATCCCTGGAGCTTTGGGTCAGGGCATGAAGCAGATTGGAACTGGCTCTGGATAAAGAGCAAGCATTGGCCAAACTGTACAGGCAACAAATTATTCCTAGTGCCTTGTGGGAAGGGACCCTAAAGAGCATCTCATTCCACCCCTGCCATGGGCAGGAACACCTTCCACCGTCCCAGATTTCTCCAAGCCCTGTCCAACCTGGCCTTGGGCACTTCCAGAGCCACAGCTGTCCTGGGCAACCTGTGCCACTACCTCCCCACCCTCACATGGAAGATTTTCCTCCCAATATCCCATCCAAATGTCACACCTGGGTGACCTCTGACCAGAGCTGTTTTCCTCAGGTCTGCTGAGCAACATGCAAAGAGAACTCCTGCAAAAGCAGCAGAAAATCCAGCAGCTCCAGCAAGAGACTGAAAAACTGAGTAAGGAAAACCGAGAGAAGGACAAGCAGCTGGCTGTGGTTTCAGCCAAGGTTGGTAGCACTAATTAGGGGCTCAGTAATTTATGAGCCCCTGCTTGACATGGGGATAAGGTGAGAAAACAGGTGAGAAGGGTGGTGCTTCTCTCTGGTGAGGATGGTAGCAGTTGTATCCCTGGGTGATGGTCCATGACCATGTCTGGGTGTGCCAGGATGCCCATGGGTCAGGGTCTCCTTCCCCAGCTGGATCTCCCTCCTTGCTCTGCATCAGGTACTGTGTGCCCTGGGCTCCCGTGAGCACAGCAGCTGTTTGTACACACAAAATATTCCTGCCAAGGTCCTCCCGAGGAGCCATGGCACTGTGCCATGGGGCTCCCTTTGGCCCAGCCTGGATTTGTCCTTAAAGAAGGTGGCTTGAGCAGCAGCAGGTTGTTCCTCTGCATGGGCAGCTCCTCCTCAACTGGCAGAGCTGCACTGGGAGCATGATAAGGGCAGAGTCTGTGTTGCCTGCAATGTACCAGGAGATCACAAGGATTGACTTGTGAATCCCAGAATTGCTGAGGTTGAAAATGACCTGTAAGATCAGAGTCCAGCCATTACCACCAAGGCCACCACTAAACTATGTCCCCAGGTGTCTTCTAAATTCCTGCAGGGATGTCAACTCAACCACTGCCCTGGGCAGCCTGTGCCAGTGTCCCATTCACAGCAGGAGCAATGGTATCACTGCCCTGATGGTTATTTCCCTTGGTTGCCATTCCTTCTAGTGCTCGAGAATTAAAGAAGAAACAAAGCACGAACTCAGAGAGCAAGAACTAATCTCCTGCAGAAATGTGAGTCAAAGGCACTTTGGGTAAGCAGTGGCTGCAGGAACACATTAGTGAGGGAATAATTAACTGGGCATTGTAAGGGAGCTGTTTGAAACTCAGCTCCTGTCCTGAAAGGCACATAATGGGCATGAGACCTGGGGCAGTCCTGGATCCACAACGCTGGTTTACAGTGTGAAGGGGAGGGTGAGGGAGAGGTGGCTTGGGGGGGATGTGATCAGAAATCAGAGTGACTTCCACTTGTAAGCTGATATAACCACAGTAAATGCAGGTTAGAAGAGAATTCCAGTAAACAGAGTGAGTTAGATGGGCAGAAAATCTTGCTGATCAGTGGAGGTCATCCAGAGGGGCAGTGCCCAGCTGCCCTGGTGAGACCCCCACCCTCCCTGGGCTCTTGCAGCACATCGAGGAGCTGCAGCGGGACCTGCAGGGGCTGCAGGGGGAGATCCAGAAGCATGAGAGTGTCCAGAAGCAACTGGCTGAGAAAGCCAAGGTACAGTTGGCTGCAGGGGACACACAGAGGGCAGGTGCCATAATCCCAGAGGGGTGGGATGGGGACCAGCAATCCCTGGGAGCACAGGTTGGTTGGGCAGGGCATCCAACTATCCTGAGCTCTACCACGGACCCTGATGGAAGAAGAAAAATAGATGGCAGAGTGCTCTGTGTAGATGTTGGGTGAGGAAGTCAAGGATGGACAATGGCCCAGGGGTGAAACCCAGACAAAAAGTGCCATGAAGGGTCCATGCTGCAACCCCACTCCCTGCACCAGGACTGCTGTCTGTCTCCTGGTGTTCCAAAGGCACATTTGGATTTTCTGATGGGAACAGTGGTTGGAATGTCTGTGGCGTGGTTTTGGATGCCACTCTGAGATGCCAAAGCTCTCGTTGCAGGCAGAGGAGGAGCTGAAGGCAGCGTGGTCACAGCAGGAGCGGCAGCTGCGGGAGATGGAGCGCAGGGAGCGCCTGCTGCAGTCTAACATGCAGAGAGCTGGGGAGCAGGTGGGGATGGGAACATCACCACTGGGCCATGGGCAGCACAGGGATACAGCTTCCCATGGGGAAGATGTGCTGTGGAAACAGAAACCCAGAGCCCTGAGCACCAAACCCTGGCACAGGACTTACCTTGCCATTGGGTGAATATAAAAGGCTTATCCAGAATTGGTGTGGGCAGCATAGACAATGTAGCAGTCTATTAGCATACAGAAAAGGAATCTCTAAGCTTAGTTATGCTGTCTGGGAGCCACACCAGCCTTCCTCAGTGCCTGGGTAATGCTGCTCTGGGCAGGGACAGCCCTTTGCAGATAACATCACACTAGGTACGGACCATCAGTGATCAGCAGAGTGGCTGTCAATGATTGGTGGTGTTTGTTTCCATGTGTGGGTCCCTGCTGCAGCTGGAGTCCTTCAAGACCCGAGTGATGCAAGCCTGTTCTCCATCAGCAGCTGGCAGCACAGGGAAAGCTGTAGCAGAGCAGCAGGTGAGTTTGGACAGCAGCTCACAGAGATGTTCGGAGCCTGCAGAGCCCGAGTGGCTCACGGCAGCTGCTGCAGAACAGCCGTGGTGCCTGCTCCATGTGCAGCAGGGCTGCAGCACCCAGGCTTCTCCAGAGGAGGATTTGGGCTGTGGCTGTCCAGGTTAATGACACTGCTCCACTGTTAGACCAAACCAGCCCCTGGCCGGGTAATAATTGGCACAGACTCCATGAATTCACAGAAGGCTGATCAATAATCTCTATTAAGAAACCCATTGCTCTTTTTATATCCTAATTCCCTACAGGTAGAATTGATTGGCCTTTAATTAAAACACCATCACCACTGCTAATTAAGAAACTCCCCTTTGGTAAACAAATCTCCATAACACATTCCACATGTTCACAATACCAGGTACAGCAAGTTAAGATTTGTTTCTCATTCTTTTCTCTGATCTTCTCCCAGACTTTCCCAGAATGATGCCTGGGAAGGTTGTGTGTTTCTCTCTGTGGCCAGAGCTGCTGCCACACTCCATGACATGAAGGGGACACAGTTCTTTTTGTCTCCTAAAGCTTGGAGGGAGTCAGTGGTCTGCAACAGAGTCTGATGTGGCTGCCAAATTGCAGCAAGCCTCAGTTGTTGCTCTCTAAGACAATCCCTGGCCCCTCAGCTGGAAAACAGCATGAGCCTTAAACTCCTCTTTCTTCACCCACTTTTGCCAGGTGATAGAGAAGGTCAGGCAGATCTCTGATGAGAACCAACAAAGTCATGAGAGAGAGAAGAGCCTGCAGAAGGAATTAAGCTCCAGGCTCGCAAAGGAGAGGGAAGTGTCTGCAAACATCGAGGTGTTCAAGAACTCCTTGCAGAAGCTCCAGGTCAGCCCTTTAAATACTGAGGACCAAATAGCAGCTGGGAGATAGTGGCACAGGGTTTTTTGTTGGCCTGAGGAAAGGTCAGACTAAAGATACAACCCTGAAACAAAGCATCATCCCTAAGTGTTCATGTTCCCTGGAGTTTGTCACAGATTCTCTATAAAGCCCATCCTGTTTCACCCCCTGCCATGGGCTGAGACACCTTCCACTGGACAAGGTTGCTCCAAGCCCCATCCAGCCTGGCCTGGGATGTTCAGAAATGTTGTGTTGTTTGCCAGTCCCTGAAGGCCACTGACAGTGGACACTGCCTTGTTCCCCTCTGGTTCCATTTGTTCCAGGCGTGCCTGAGGAGCCCCTGCAGCAGTGCCAGCCTGCGGGGGGAGCTGGGGCAGCTGGAGCTGCTGTGCCTGGATCCCTCTGTCTCAGCCATCAGGACAGCAGTGGTGGACATGGCACGTGGTCCCCTGTCCTGGCTGGAGGGTGCAGAGCAGCTCCTGGACAGCGTGGGGATGGACCTGCACACCTCTGGCAAAGGTCTGTGTCCCTGGGAATGTGGGATGTCCTGGCAAGCCAGATGTAGAGGAGAAAGTCCAGCATGAGCCACTCCTTGGGGACAAAATCACAGAATCATGGAAATTTTAAGGCTGAAAAATACCTCCAAGGCACCAAGTACAACCATTAAGCCAGCACAGTTCCCAAGTGCCACAGCCTCGCACTATTTTGAACACTTCCAGGGATGGTCGCCTATTCCAATGCCCTGACCATCCTTTTCATGAAGAAATTTTCCTGGATATGATATCCATAATATGGTGTGTGAGCACCCCACACAGTGAGGCTCCATTGACTTTTGCAGGGCTGTTGGCTGCTCTCGGGAGCTTGTTGGAAAAGAGCCAGGAGATGGCACAGAGGAATCAGATGTTGCAGGTACAGAAATATTTATGCACATAAACCAGGTGGATTTGGACTCTTTCTATGGGTAAATATGATGGCAGTCCCAAGCAAGCCAGTGCAGCACCTGGACTGGGGATGTGCAGTGTCTGAGATCCCTGAGTGTACAGGAAATGTAAGGTAAGGGAGACAGAGCCCACTGTCAGTGTGTCCTTATCCCTAATGCAGCAGGATGCAGAGGAGATCTCTTTTGTGAATTTTTTGTGACTTTTTGTGAGGTTTATTTCTTGCCCTGCTGCTGACACACTTCCTTTAATACCTCCATGTCTCCCTGCAGGAGCAATTAGAGAAGCTCCGGGAGCTGCAGGCAGAGCTGCTGCAGGAGCACACAAGGGAGCTGGAAGCAAAGCATGAGCAAGACTTACAGATAAAAATCCAGCAAATTGTCCTGGAAAAGGACAAGGAGAGCAAACAGGTACAGTGGTAAGGTTGGTGTTTCGGAAGAGGAATGTTATGCAGGAAAAATGGATGTGTATAAGAGTGTTGAATAACAAGAGGAGGAACCTCTAGCTCCAAACTGAATGCAGTCCCAAGGGACTGGATATCCTCCCATATGGATCCAGGAGGTGCAAACTCACAAAAATATCCATGTTGGAACGGGGAAGCACCTGCAGGTAACATCAGGATGCACAGCCTCCAGTCAGTCACCAGGGGACAGGGGAAAGCAAGGAGCATTGTGATCCACGAGCTTAGGGAAACATTGCACTGCTGCTTCTACAGCCTTCTCTGCCTCCCTCCCCTTGCTGGGGTCCTGTTGACTCCTTTGTGGCAGGAAAAGGATATTCCTGTGGAGCAGGGGGCAGCAGTCCCCCTCAGCCCCAGGGAGCCCCAGGCCATTGCACCAGTGGCTCTGGTGTGGGGTGCACTGTCAGTCAGAGTGTGAATGGGTGTTTTGCCATGTGTGTGTTGTGATCATGGTGGCCTTGTGGGACAGTTTCCAGTCTGCTTCTGTGTCTGGCACCTTGGGAGTGGTGGTTTCCTGGTGTTCAGTTTTCTGAGGATTCAGTCAAGGAGCAGCCAAACAGCTCCTACTCTGTCTCTCAGCTGTGCTTTTCCCCAGGTGCTCCCATCCACTCTTTCACTGAGTTACCTCGTGTCCTGGCAAGCTTTTCACCCATCATCTGCCCCTGCTCTGGAGCAATGACCCTCCCTGGAGCAATGACCCTCCTTGCTGCTTTTCTCCTTGGAGCTGAGGTCTTTGTTTCCTGAAGTGAACCTGTGGTCTCTTGATTCACAGATTCTGGAAAGCGCTGTCACTGAGGAGAAGGACAAGTGCAAGAAATCTGTGGAGGAAGAACAGAGGAAGATCCAAGAGTTAGAAAGCCACCTTAGAAGCATGGCTGAGGTGAGCATGGGAGGTGAAGCAGAACAGTTCACTCTTGGAATGAAGAAAAGGGAAAGTGTAGTGTGGTGCTCCAGGGGCTCAAATCAGTGGAAGAAGGGGTTTCCCTGCCCCCCCAAATACACAGAGAGCAGCTCTGCACAAAGAAAGGTGGATTCCTGGCTAAGCTAATTACTGCTAATTTCCTCTGGTAGGAAACAGCAAAGAGGGCAGAGGAGCAGGAATTGACAGAGGGAAAGCTGAGAGAAGCTTTGCACGAGTTGAAGCAAATCACTGCACAAGAGGTACTTGCACTCACCTGTGCAGGTGGAGGATGCAGTGCTGGAGAAGAAGGCTTCCCCCATCCCTGAAATCCTTCCCTTCCCCCATTCTTGTGATCACCATCCAGGAGAGATGATGCTGATGGTGATCCCAAAAGAAACCCCCAGTGCTTCCAGCCAAGCTCCCAAATCTTGTTTCCCAGGCTGTGTTACAGCAGCAGGTGCTCCAGCAGAGCCAACAGCTCAGGGCTGTGCAGGAGGAAAATGAGCTGCAGAGGCAGAAACTGCAAGAAGAGGTGGCAGGATATAGGGAGCAAAGCAGGCAGCATTCCCTGACCATCCTGGCTTTAGAGGACAGGCTGCTCGAGGCCACTCAGCAGCAGAAGGTGCTGGAGGAGGAAAAGGCAGCACTTGTGGAAAAGATGGAAGGTAGGTGAGGGTTGTATGGGATGTGCCTGTACCAGGAACTGACTGGGTTAACATGAAATGTGTGTGGAGATGGAACAGTGAACAGCTGCTATAGAAAACATTGGGAAGATGTTGAATGAAGGTTATTTCCCTGCAGGACAAGCTCAGTGAGGCCCTGCAGAAGCTGTTTCATTGTTTGGTCGTTTTGGAGAACATTTTTTCATTGTTTGGTGGTTTTGTCAGGGCTTTGCCACTGGAGAAGGGCTCTTTGCTCTCTAAAATTGCAAGACTGGCATTATTTGGGCTTCTCCAAGACAGAAGCAACCCCAATGAAGGCTGGATGTCAAGAATTGTCCAGTTGGCCTTAGAACTGGGCTCTCAGGGACATGGTTTCCCAAAGAGACAGTCCTCAGAGCTGCCACATGAAGGAAATTATTTGTGTAGCAGAAGCAACAAGCATGTAAGTGTTTCAAAGAAGTAATAGGCCTTTTTTGTGTGTGTGTCCTTTAGGACTTCAGTGTGATGCCCACAGCTCAGCATCGGGAGCTTGGCTGGAGATTTGTCCTGCCATGGAGTCTCATGCTTGTCTGAGGTGAGCAGCAGTTGCTGATGGTGATCAGAGATGCTTAGAGAAGGGCAGGGACCACTTGGGAGAGCCTAAGGAAGTCCAACGCCACCTGTCCCAAGATCTTTTCAGTCTGGGACAGGACTTGAGTCCCTTTGCTAGGCTGAAGTGATGCTAAGGGCAAAGAGCATCAAAGTGATGCCAAACAGCACATGACAATCTGCCATCCCCTCTGGATGGCTCCAGGTGGCAGCAAGTGGTGTGGCCAATCCCACACCACAGGGTGAACCCCGGGGACCAAAAGGCAGGTTAAAAAATAATTAAATAATAAAATATTAAGCAGGAATGCAGCACAGGAAGGCATGCATGGGCTCCCTGCAATGAAGTTTCCCGATGGCTGTGACATCTGCACTGATCTTTCCCAGGAAACTGCGGGAGGAGCTGGCAGTGGTGCAGGGCATGCTCCTGGAAAAGAAGGCAGTCATCAGCAGGCTCAGCAGGGAGCTGTCAGAAACCAGAGCCAGGATGTCAGACATGAGAGGTGGGTGATGTGCACTGTGTGCCTGCCATCATCCCCATCCTCCTCCAAGCACACACAGATCACAGGAAATTGATGTCACAATTCTCAGGCAATGCTTTGTCCTGCTGGGGGCAAAGCAGGCAGTCTGTTCCCTTTGGGAAGGTGAATTTCTCCCCATCCTTGTCTAGGTAATATCAGTGACAATGAGAGAGCAGAGTAATCAGGGGGAGAGCAGGTAGACAAAAGTGAGCTCAAAATCACACCGGTGAACTTCTTGGAGCTGAAGATGTTCTAAGCCAGTGGACTGGGAAAGCCTTGCCTGAAATTCCTCCATGAGCAGGGCTGTGAACACGAGGAATGTGTGGAGTCAAAAACTGCAAGTCAGAAAATGCTGGTGACGTGTCCTCCTTCAAACGGAAGGAAAATTGCCACAGCAAGGAATTGCCCTGGCTGGTACCTCCACAAAGAGACTGGGGTTTAGTGAACCAGGATGTCCTGTTGGCGTGGCCCAGGATCTGAGGGCAGCAGCCAAGGGCAGGACTCTGCAGGGATGAGCCCCATTGTTGCTCCCATGAGGGTGCACCAGCTGCAGATCCCCCAGGACTGGGTGGTGAGTCAGCCAGCATCCCACGAGGCTGTTCTGTGCTTAGGGGAGCTGAGTGAAGAGCAGAAGGTGGAGCTGGAGCACAGCCAGAGGCAGCTGAAACACCGGGAGTGGGAAGTGAACCAGCTCCGGGAGAAGCTCTCTGAGATGTCCAGCCTTGTGGAGGAGAAGGATCAGGCCCCGAGAGCAGCAGCTGATGAATTAAGGTACACCCTGACATCACCCAAGGCTTCACGGATGCCACTCTGTGTGTCCCCAGCAGCTGATGGTGTTCAGGGTTCTCCTCAGAGCAAAAGGCACGTGTGAGAGTATCAGGATGGAGCTCAGCTCTGAATCCATGACACAAGAACTGAAATGGGGGTTTAGTGGAGCTCATGCCAGTAGATCTGTTACTCAGGCACTTGTATCTAAGTGAGTGTTCCCACCCACACCATGGTAGTCATCAGTGGGTGTCCAGGGTGCTGCTCTTCACAAGCTGTTTGGGTCACCTTCATCCATCCTGGGGTCCCACAACTTCTTGTCTCTCCACACAGCCAAGCCCAAAGGCACTGCCAGGTGCTGAGGGATGCTTCCCAACAAACACTGGAGAACACAGAGGATGCTCCCAGGACACCAGTGCAGCTGAGTGAAGCCTCCCAGCGGGTGAGTGCTCATGGAGAGCACCGAGGTGTGGGTTTGCCAAGAGCACTGATGGTATCACGGTGAGAGCCAAGGCTGGAGCTGCCCTGCACTGGCCCGAGGCTGGGATGGCCAGGCACCCTCCCCGAGCCTGGGCTGCCTGTGCTGCTTCTGATCCGGGGAACCCTCAGCCCCCACCAGGCTGCTGCTGGTTAATGAGCTGATGTTTGCACAGCACTTTGGAACCACCAAGTGTTGTGCGTGCTAATGGCTGCGTTAATTGCCAATTAGAGGGAATAGCAACATGCAAGCATTCCTTCCTTTTCCCAGCTTGCTGAGCTGTGGATGCTGGCTGTGCAGGTAGTGCAGAACCAGTTCTAGGGTTGGATGTGGAGAAGTAGGGGCAGCTTGTTGCACAGGACAGGAAGAAACGCTCCTCATTCTCCTGTGCCAAATCCCTGTTTGATTTTCCCGAGGCTGGAAAAGGGAAGAAGTGGCAGGTGGTGGCGGCAGCAGATGGAGGGGCTGTGGGAATTGAACATTCTGTACAGCGAAGGTGGCAGCCAGCAGCATGCCAGCAGGGCCGGCTGGCTGCGGGGGCGCGGTGACTCACTGCCAGCTGAGGAGGGGTGGGAGGCACTGCCCGTCCTGCTCCGCATGCCCTGATGGGGAGGCAGATCCCAGTGCTGGGGGTGCCACTCAGGAGCAGGATGGGCTGAGCTGTGGGGTGACAGCAGCCAGACCAGAGCTGGGGGTCTGCATCATCAGCCCTAGCCCCGTCGCAGGGTTTTGGATGTTTGTCATAATGTGGGGATCTGGATGGGGCTGGGAGAGGCAGTGCACATGTAGAGAGTGATGTCCAAGTCTGTGTAGGGATGATCTCTGAAATGCACCAGTGTTTGTGTGTCAATGGCAAATGCTCTCTGGTGGTGCAAAGGACTAGGGGAAAATGCCAACGTGGCTGTTCAGAGCTGTGCACCAACCTCTCCTGGCTCTCTAGAGCATTTGCAGGGTTCATATCCTGACCATAGCAGGAAGGAGGTCTCTGACAAGTCTCCTATACACCCCCAATCCATGGAGATGCTTCCCAGGCTTTGCTCTTGTGCCAAGTGCCCAGTGTCTGGCAGCAGGGCTGTGTTTGCATTGAGCTTGTGCTGTGCCAGATGCAGACTGGGCAGAAGCTGTCTTCTTTCAGGAGCCACCATCAGCCTTGGCTGAGCTCGGAGCCAAGTGCCGAGGCCTCAGGCACGAGGAAACAATCCAGCGCCAGAAAGAAGGTTTGGCCGAGCTCCGGGCGAGAGTGAAGATGCTGGAGAAGAGACAGTGCTCAGGTGAGCAGGGCTCTCCTAGAACTGTGGAATGCTTTGGGTTGGAAGAGACTTTAAGGACCATCTTGTTCTGCTCCCTGCCATGGGACAGCTGCCACTATCCCAGGTTTCTCCAAGCCCCATCCAGCCTGGCCCTGGGCACTGCCAGGGATGAAGCAGCCACAGCTGCTCTGAGCAACCTGTGCCAGGGCCTGCCCACCCTCACAGGGAGGCTGGGAAAGCTGGGCAGCCTCAAAGTTGTGTGGAGAGTGGAAAAATTTGTCACCTCCAGGTGCTGTGAAGAGCGATTCAGAGCCACTGGTGGTCTGGATGGAAGACTTACCAGAGAAAATAGTCCAACAAAGAGGTCTTGAGCTGGAACCTGTTCCTGTGTTGGGAGAAAAACTGAGGGCTGGCAAGGTAGGGAGGCAGTGTGTGATTTGTAATGCCTGTGACTTTATTTGGAAAGTACACCCTGGGAAAGGTTTTCAGAGCTGCTACACAAGGAGTCAGGGTAGGAGATGCGGGTGATGGATGGCAGGCAGTGCTTCTGCAGGGGTGGCAGCTCCATCAGGACCAGCACATTGTCAGGGATGCCATGGGCTGAGCAGGGTGGGAGGCTTGGGACCTCAGCAATACTGGAGTGGTTTTCCCATGGGGTGAAAGGGGGGCACAAGGCCCCTTGACCAAAAACCAGGCCAAACATGGGCTCCATGGGTCTTTCCCTGCCTTTGCAGGTTCCTGACCATGTTCCTAATGGGAGCTCATTCAGGATCACCAACAGCACAGTGAGCTTGGAAAGGGCTGAGGCGACAGACATGGGTGAGAAGATGGTATGTCAGGGATAGATGTGGTAAGTGGTGTAGAGTGTGTGTACATGCCCAGAGTGTGTAGAGATGAGATGTTTTTTGAAAACATTTCAGAGGTATGTCACATCAGGATGCTGCAGGAATTTGAAGATTAACTGCTCTGTGGTCCAGTTAAAGACACCCCTGTCCATGGCAGGGGGGATTGGTTTGATGACATTTAAATTTCCCTTCCAATCTAAACTATTCTATGGCCCAGAGCACATTGTGTGTCTGCCAGGACATCCTGGGACCCCAAAACATGCCATGGTACATCAGAGAGGCTGGGGAACAATGGAGGGACCTGCCAGGGAAGGGGTCCATGGGTAGCACAACTGGTGAGTTGTGCAAGGGGGTTCCTTCCCTCCAAAAATGCAGGGAAACACCCAGCAGGAAAAACAGTCATCTTAGAAAAGGAAGCAATCCAATTCCAGTGAGCTGTGCAGGTGGGAATGAGATGCAAACCTACTTTCCTTGGGACACTGTCATGTCCTCAGGAAAGCAGACAGAAAGCAGATGGCTGAGCAGCGTGATGGAATGCAGCAGACCTGGTAAATAATGCATTCCCTCTTCTTCCCACAGTACCTTGATGTAATCGGTGCTCTGGGAAACCTGGTGGAGATGAAGGAGCTGTCAGGAATGCAGCCTCTGCAGCACCTTCCTCAGGAGAGAAGGGCAGAAGTGGGACTGCAGAGACAGAAGGCCCTGGAGCTGTTGTACAAAAAGATCAGGAACCTCCAGGTTCGCCTGGAAAGGAAAGAAAAAGTGCTGAAAGATTATGAGGAAAGTGTGGAGCAGCTCAGGTATGGAAAGCCAGTGTTCTGAACAAGACCTGGTCCTTGGATGCCGAGTGACAGGGAGCTTGGGGCAGAAAGTGACATGGCACTGCTGAGTCCTGTGTCTGTCTGGGACCAGTCTGTGTCTATGGCCATGGTACAAAAGTCAAATGCCAAGAGGAGTGGGGAAACATCCTCCCCGCTCTGCAGTGGTACCTTCTGCAGCCTCACACAGTTGAGCAGTGTCAGAGCCAGGAAAGCCTTGACAGGTTCCCTTGTCCTGGGTGGCTGGAGCAGCAGTGGCAGTGGCAGCAGCTGGGACATAGGGACGGTGTCAGCAGGACCAAGGAAGGTGTGGGAGAGCACAGCTGAGGGCGTTGGTAAGGGCAAAAGACCAACAGAATCCTCCCCTCCTGTTTGGCACAGGCAGAGCCAAGCTTCCCTGCGAAGGTGCCAGGAGGAGATGTCCAACCTGGAAGATGAAGCCCACAGGGGGGCAGAAGAGAAGGCCCTGCTGAGAGAGGCTCTGGAGAGGATGCAGCTCCAGCTGGACCAGGAGAAGAGGCTGCGGCAAGCGGCCAAACGGCACAAGGTGAGAAGGCAACACCCAGCTCCTGCTCTTTGTACAACAGCCGGCTCCACCTCTTGGGAACCATGCAAAGAGTGGTCAGTCAGACCATCCCAAGAGGCTGGAGGTTCCAGGCCCCCAGTGCTCAGCTGCAGCATCACAGCCACATCCCTTGATGAGGCTGGAGGAGGTGCAGACACCTGTAGCGATGGGTTTGCAGTATGTATGAGGGTGAGAGAGAGGAGCAGGTCATGCTGAACTCTCGAGGTCAACGCTGTGTCTGTTGTCTCTGTTCTGCAGCCTGGAGCCACAAAGACTCTCTGCTCGGGCAAGCCGAAGGCCAGGGGAGGTGCTGCCAGATTGGGAAGATCATGGGAGCAGCACCACAGGGACCTTCACTAGGCAGTGGTCTGCAGTAGGAACAGTCATTGCTGTGGACTCTGTCAGGGTGGGGGTGGCATGAGGTGAGGGTGCATTTTGAGGAGCTCCAGTTTGTATCCCGTAGCTCCTGGGCACACTGGTGTGACTGTGGACCTGACTTTCCCACAGTCCATGTCCCATAGAGTGTGGTGGATTTTATGGCAATGGAAAAGGTGGTGAGGATATATCCAGTGTACATGTGTGTGTGTGAATACACACACATGCCCAGTGACGTGTGAAGTCGGTTGTGGGGGGCATGTCGTGTCCTTGCTGAAGTGGCCTCCAGCACATGAAGCCAACATGGCTTGAAATATCCCTTGCAATCCTGTGTCCTCCAGTCTCCGTCATGTCATGGGGAAACTGGAACATAAGGCACGATGCAGTACGGAATTCTGGAGTTCCTGGAACTCCCCAGGAATGCTGGACCTGCCACCTGGGAAGGGGGAAAGAAGAGGACCTGTGCCAGCCACACTGGTACTGCAGCAGCATGAGGACGAGCTGGGGAGATGAGAGCGACATGCCGGTGGGGTGGGGTGATGGCACAGGCACTCACTCACTGATTCTGATCCTTAGCAAAGGTGAGAGCAGACCCTGGATTTTGGGGGGCAGCAGTGTTTTGGGGAGGGGTCCCTGCAGGCAATAGGCAGCTCCAGCACATCATCCCTGCAGCTGCTCTGCCTCAGCACCACTCGGAGCAGTCCCTGTGCCGAGTCCTCTGCAGACCCCTTCAGCTGAGGATAATTTGGATGTGAGCAAATCCCCACTGCGGTTTCTTGGTCTTTATTTTTTAATAGGATAAAAAAGGTCTGGAAGCAGAGGGCTGAAGCAGGCTGATGCAGGGCTGCATCATCTCTGGGCATGCAAAGCACCCATGTGTGCTCAGTGGCCAATCCCTAGTGGGGCTCTGGGCATTGGTGTGGCCTGGTTTTCCTGCTCCCTGTGCTGAGAGAAGCTGGATGCTTCGCTGTCTGAATGCCTGGGTTTACTTTGGGACAAAGCATGACCTTCTAGGCTTGAGTAGGTTAAAGGTGCTGCCGTGGGCATCCTCTGCAGGTGTATCTGGAGATGTTGGGCTGCTCCATGACTCTCTGTGTCCTCTCCATTACACCCTTGGCAAACTCTGGGTCAGGAATGGATGGAGATGGCAAGAGCACGGGTGTTTGTGAGTGCACCAGATTCCCCGTACCCTCCTTCGAGCCTACGGACTCATAGAATCATGGGTGGGTTTGGGTTGAAAGGGACCCTAAAGATGGTCCGGGGGGATCCCACCGGGGTATGGTGATGCTAGGCCCCAAGGATCATCCCAGGCCGGTCCCGCCGAGGAATTGCTGAGCCCTGCGGATGCTGCCGG